AATATTTTGACATGTTATTAAGCTCTCATGAGTTAATGGGACACGTAGGTCGATTTTTAACAAAAGGACCAAGTTGGGGCCAAAATGGGAAATAGTAAGGACTAAATTAAGGATTTTTTGAGTTGAGAAACTCAATCGAGGGTCCATACAATAGTTGAGGGACCAAAAAGAGGATTTAACTTAATATTTATAAATGTTATTAGTGGAAGGTCAAATATTAACATATATATTTATAAAATTTTAACATAAACAATAGTCACTATTGGCTGATGATTATACTCATATAATCAACAGAATTAGATGTCGATTATATAGGCATAATTCTGTTGATTATATGAGTATAATCAACATCAAATAGTGGCTATCGATTATACTCATATCGCCTTCCCCACCCAAAAAAAGTTAAATTTCATAGTTGATATAATTTGAAATATAACCAACAGTTATTTTAAAACATAATTAATAGAATTTCTGTTGAATATATTTTGTCTATATATATGGACACAGAAACATAATTAGCAAATATCTTTTCATCTCATCTTCTCCTACCTCTCCCCTCTTCCTTTCTTTCTCATAGATGTTTCACCACATTTCCCTTTTCCCTCTATTTTTATCTTCTTTCATCTTCTCCCTTTCCTTTTACATTTCTAATTCTTGCATTGCATGTCTTCATCTTTCCCTCTTATTTCTACTTTTCTTTCATCATTCCTTTTACCTTTCCTATTTTCATTTTTGGTTCTCATCCTTCTACTTTTCCTTCATTTTCTTTGATACTTTCATCTCAAGGTTTTTATTTTCTTTTTTTTTTTTCCATTTATTTTTTTGTTATTTTCATTTATCATCTAATTATTTTTATTTGATCTACTAATAATTTTTTTTTATTTTTGCAGATTATTAAGCTTAAAATCATTTTATGAGGTAAATTCACATTTTGATTTATATTTTTCATTTCCTTTTACTTGAATAAAATCTTCTAATGTATAACAAAGTTTTTTCTTTTTATAGATATTTTTATTTCATTACAGGTAAATTATTTATCATTTATCTTGTTTTTCCATTAATTCTCATAATATTTGAATATTATTCTTGTTTTTCAATATTTCTCAAAATTAATTTTTATATATTATTGTTACACTAAATTGATTTTATCATTGAATTTTGTTTAATAACTTTATAATTTAATTAATAACTACAAAATTAAAAATTTAATTCTACATACATTTTTTTAATTCTAAATTTTTTTTATTGCTAGAACAAATATAATCAACAATTTTTTCTATCGATTATAGTTATTTTCGACCTTTATTTATCTGACAAATTTAGCTATTGATTATATTTGTCAATTATACCTATAATTGACAGAATTTCTCTTATAATTAACAAAAATTTATGTCAATTAAACCTTATTTTCTAGTAGTAAAACATTCAAGAAAGTTGAGTAGGATGCAAACTCTAGAACTTGTAATCATGACAATTTGAACCAAAAGAAAATTGTCATTTAACTATCATCATGTTCATCCATTTTATGTGCAGAGTACCAGCCTTCAATACTCACCCATCCCCCTTCCATGATTAGGACAAAAAAGAAGGGAAGTAATAGCAAATTTACATGGGCAATTTAAAATTTTCAAGGTTTCTTTTTTAAAAAAGGGGGGGAAATAAAATGAGAAAGAAGATGTCAAATATTGAGAAAAATTACCAACAAGAGATTGGTTATAAGTTGTTACTCACTAACATAAAAATTTTGATTTGAGGTCAAGATTAGATGTTCAAATTTCTATATTGCTAAACAGCTAACTCTCTTATTAGGGGTGGCAAAAATTCATCCAACC